AAATAGTTTTGGAATATGGATTATTTTGCAATGAATTTTAATTCCAACTTCAGCATTGGAAGTGCTGTTAAATACCCTCCTATCCTCTGGTAATTTGTTCTGTGTTATCATTAGCTAATGATGCTATGTTTGATATTACAGGACCAGCATTTGTCTGTCTTTATAACAGAAAGGCACTTCCCTTTTTGCTTTATTGTCCCCGTGTTGGTATTTTTGGAAAAATACATGGGACATAAAATTTGCCATTATACTGGAGTCATTTGTTTGCCTTTTTGAGATAGGGTCTATGTGTAGCCCCAACTGGCCTGGAACTGGCTATGTAGACCAGGTTGGCCTCCATTTCACAGATCCATCTGCCTCTGCCTTGGAGTGCTAGGATTAAAGGTGTCTGCCACCACACCCGGCCATTACATTGTTTTTAGGGCAGCATTTCTCTGGTCTTAAGTGCATTCATTCACATTGCAATACAACTGTTCATCTCCAGAACTTTTTTTAATCTTGCCAACCTGAAACTCTAGAGCTATTAAATACCACTCCACCCCCTCCATTTCCCTGGAGATCACTCTTTTGTTTCTTTGAACCTGTCTACCCTAAGAACCACATATATGAAGACTCACATTTTTGCTTCCTTTACTTAGGTTATTCAAGATTCATGTATGATGCAGCAAGCGTCAAATTTTTCTTCCTTCTTAAGACTGAATAATATTCGATCACAAACCCACACCCATGTACCACACTTTGTTTATTCATTCATCTGTCAATCAAGTGGTGTTTGTTTTGTTTCCTCTTCTTTCCTGTTTTTTTGAGACAGAGTCTCACTATGCAGTTCAGACTGGCCTGGAACTCACAATCCTTCTATAAAATCTACCTTCAGCCTTTTGTTTGTGGTGCCAGGGATTGAACCCAGGGCCTCTTGCAAGCTAGGTAAGCATTCCACCATGGAACCACATCCCCAGCCCAAATGATACCCTTTTAATACTGCCTGTTGTTTGAAAACCAGCCCTCAGGAACTACAGTAGTAACCCTATACTTCAGATTTATTATGCACAAATATGGTGCAGGATGCATCCCAGTCCTTATCTATAGTCTTGACATTTTTTTGTAATATATATAAACCTCTTAAGAGAAGCAAGTATATTTTTGTTAGAATTTCAGTTGTTAGCAGAAGAAAACAATCACTATAAAAATGCTCAAAAACATTTCTGCTTTTCTATTGGGTTTAGTGGCAGGATTCCTTTTGTTAATAAAATTGTTTTGATTATAAAAATCAGCAGGAATTTCAGTACTTCTCATTCCTGTTACATAATTTTATGTTTTCTTTTTATTCTGTATTTATTAGACATTAAATATCAGATTTAGGGGCTGGAGAGATAGCTGAGTGGTTAAGAGCAAATAGCTGTTCTTGCAGAGGACTTGGGTTCGGTTCCAGCACCCACATGGCAGCTAACAGCCATCCATAACTCCAGTTCTGGGGGATTCGACACCTCTTCTGACCTCTGTGGACACTGCACAACATTGCAATACACTATACACATTAAAATGCACCCTCATCATGCTGCTTTACACTCCCAAGTGTGACACACCTTAGAATGCATGTTGGAAGATTTTGTTTCTTTAGGATTTTGGTCATCACAGAAACCCTAAAAGTTTTATCAACTATTAAGCTCATGAAATAAAAATCAGATGTAAAACTTAGGGGCTGGGGAGATGGCTCAGCAGTTAGAGCACTGACTGCCCTTGCAGAAAACCTGGTTTCAGTTACAGCACCCACGTGGTAGCTAACAGCTATTTGTAACTCCAGTTCCAGGGGACCTGACACCCTCTTCAGGGCTCCGTGGGCATTGCACATATGTGTGCACTCACATACATGCAGATAAAACAGTCATACACATAAAAGTAAATTTTAAAAAATTTTAAGGATATAAAACTTAGAGTTCCTACATGAAAGATGAGGAAATTGAACCTCGGGGGGATTAAATAGCTTGTTCAGATGCACTCATTACTAAATAGAGACTTAAGTCTACAAGTCAGGTCTCCTAACAGCAAAGCCTCTGTTCTTTCAAGCATTCCACACTGCCACCTCTCCAAAAAAGGTTTTTATTTATTTCTTTAAAATATTTTTTATTTATATTTTATGTGTATGAGTGTTTTGCCTGCATGAATTAAGTGCACCATGTGTGTGCAATGCCCATGGAGGCCAGAATAGAGCATTTAATTCCTATTAAATGGAATTATGGACAACTGTTAGCCACCATGTGGGTTCTGGGAACTGAATCTGGGTCCCCTGCAAGAGCAGCCAGTGCTCTTAACTGCCGAGCCATTTCTCCAGCTCCTCCAAGAGAGATTTTTTAATGTGCTTTTGTTGGTGTGGTGTAATGGGAAATGGTACTTGCATTTGGACTGAAAAATAGTGAGGTAATTTTCTTGGCACTGAAATACGGTATCTTTTCACTTCTTTGTAGCCTGTTTCCTCATCATCACTTGGCAACACTTTCATGTGGCTGGCTATCCATGAAAATGGATTAAGCATCTTAGAGTACACCTCCATGGTAAGATTAAACTCGTGTTTTTAATTGAGTCCTCTATTTCCATTGCTCAGTATAAAATAATAAGGTAGTGATACTATGTTCTGATTTTTCTCAAAGCTCAGAAAACATTCTTCCTAATACTGTCTAACAATGTTGTTCTATAAATACAACTATGATTACAATCTAATATTTCCAAAACATAGTAAGACCGATTGTTGGGTTTGAGAATATTAAGATCTTGGGATTAAGTTGCAATCATGGTTCTGTGATTGAAATAAAAATTGTTTTAAGGAATGAGACAGGTTTTTTTACATTTATTAATTTATTTTTTGGTGTGTGTGTGTGTATGTGTGTGTGTGTGTGTGTGTGCACCACAGCACTTGAATGGATGTCAGAGGACAATTTTTGAGAATTGGTTCTCTTCTTCCACTGTGTGGGTCCCAGGGATCAAATTCAAGTTGTTAAGCTTGACTGTAAGAGCCTTTACCCACTGAGCCAGCTCACCAGCTCCCAGTTTTTTTTTTCTGTATAGAAATACAAATATTTAAGATATTAAAAAAGTAGAAACTTTACTTTTTAGATTAAATTCTGTTCCACATAAGCTTCTACAGCATAATTTATATAGTTTTCCATAATGTCACAAGTTCGCATATATTAAACTTACTCATATACTAAAACTTAGAGTGCATAATTAAAAACGAACTCAAGCTGGGCATGGTGGCTCATGCTGGTAGTCCCAGCATTCAGGAGACTAAGACAGGAAGATTGCAAGTTCAAAGCCAGTCTGGACCACACAACAAGACCTGGTCTCAAAATAAGAAAAAAAAAAAACCAGAAAAAAATGATGTCAAACCATTCTTTTTATGTGTTCATTAACTTATATGAAGTTTCTGAAAAATATAGAATGCCTCATAAATTTGCATGAGGTTACCATTTTCTTTCTTTTTAAAATATTTTAGTTATTTTTATTTTATTTATAGATGTGCTTTGCCTGGGTGTATCTATGTGCACCACTTGTGTGCAGTGCCCACAGAAGAGGGCTTTAGATACCCTGGAAATGAAGTTACAGACAGTTATTAGCCTCCATGTGAGTGCTGGGAACCAAATCCAGGTACTCTGGAAGAGCAGCATGTGCTGTCATTAGCTGAGCTATCTCTCCAACCCCTGAAGTTACCATTTTCTATCATATTTCACATACTGGGCTATATGGCCATTTTGTTTTTACACTGAGAATTAGATTTAGGTCCTCACACATTAGGCAAGTGTTCTACCACTGAGCTACACCTCATCCCTAATTTTTAATTATTTTTTTAAATTTGATGGGTAGTAATTGCTAACTTTAGAGATATAGTAGACTCTCCTTACCTGTCCAAATAGAAATCACTGAAAAATTTTTGGATACCAAACTATCTTTCAGTGTTTTAGTTGCTGTTTCCCTTTATAATTACTTAAACATTTTTGAAAGACTTCATTTTCTGAATATTTTTAGTTCTTGAGCAAATAACTTAAAGATATTATGAAGCCAGCAACCTAAAATCATCAAACAACTGTGCATCAATACTGAATTGCTTAGTTAACTCATTCCCGGATCCCTGAAGGACATGTGCAGGGCAGGATGTAGACTGTAGTGGGCTGTAGCTCCTAAGGCATTTGCTGCTGAGCAGCCTGATCTTTGCTGTGCAGGGTCCTTTTAGGATTTTGCTTTAAAAATACTTTTCAGGGACTGGAGAGATGGCTCAGCAGTTAAGAACATTGGCTGCTCTTGCACAAGACCTGGGTTCAGTTCCCAGCATCCACATGGCAGCTAACATCTGTCCATACCTCCAGTTTCAGGGGATCTGAAGTCCTCTTCTGACCTCAGTGGGCATCGCACAACCCAGGTGCACTTACATACATGTAGGCAATACACACATACACATAAAATAAAAATAATACTGACTGCTCTTGCAGAGGACCCAGTTTCAAGTCCCAGCACCCACATGACTGCTACAAACTATCCTTAACTCCAGTTCCAGGGGAATCCAATGCCCTCTTCTGACCTCCGTGGCATTGAACAACACGGGTGCACTCACATACATGCAGGCAATACACTCGTACACATAAAAATAAAAATAATAAATAAAATATTAAAAAAATAAAATACATTTCAAAAATTGTTTTAGAAATAGATTTTCTGTTTCACAGATAACAAAAAGATGTCTTTACATATATATGCTATAAAACAAAAAGAAAAATTTTTATAGGACTGAGGGTATAGCTCAGTGGCAGAGAATGTGTTAAGCATGAGTTCTGGGGAAGGGAGGGAGGGAGGCAGTAAGAGAGGGAGGGGGGAGAGAGAGAGGGAGAGGAAAGAAGGAAGGGCAAGAGGGAGGAGAGAGAGGGAAGGAAAAAGGAAGGAAGGGAGGGAGGAAAGAAGGGAGGGAAGAGAGAAAGGAAAGAAGGAAGGGAGGGAGAAGGGGGAAGGAAGGGAGGGAGGAAGGAAGGAAGGAAGGAAGGAAGGAAGGAAGGAAGGAAGGAGAGAAGGGAGGGATCAAGAACAGAGGAAGGGAGAAAAAGAAAAAGGAAAATTATGAACATGTCCATTGAAAAATTTTTGGATACCAAACTATCTTTCAAACAACACAGAGAATAAAAAAATAGAAGGATTTGGTAAATAATAATTAAGTGAAAATAATTTAAAACTGTTTTTCTACTTTTCAGTGATCAGGTGCAGAAATTTTAAAGAATGATTATATCCATGGTCAGCAAAATTTATAGTACTTAGAGTATAAATGGGTATAGCCTCTGTGGTGGAAAACTAGGGGAAATTCCCCAAAATTGTCTTCACTTCTAGAACAGTTCTTGTTGTCCAGCTTTATAACCAAAGAAATAATTAGGCATGTGCATTATAAAGTATACAAACACTACTTAAGATGTAATAAAAATGATTTAGATATTCTGCAATGAGAAAGCTGTTAAATAAAGGATTGTCTAAAAAGTCTTTTAAAATTATGTTCCACACATGTATTTGCTGTCACAAGAAGATACTCAGAGTGTATCAAAATTTTTAAAGATGTATTTATTTTTATGTGTATGAGTGTTTTGTCTACATGTATGTGTACCATGTGCATGCAGTGCCTGAGGAGGCCAGAGGAGGGTGTTGGAACCCCGGAACTGTAGTTACAGATGGTTATGAGCCTCCATATAGGTTCTGAGAACCAAACCTGGGTCCTCTGCAAGAGCAGCAAGTTTTCTTAACCACTGAGCCATCTCTTCAGACCCCAGAGTATGTTAAATTTTAAAAGCAAAATACTAAGCAGTATGTAGTATTCTGTTTTTATATATCAAAATCTACCTACCAGGCTGAACCATATGACTCACCAATATAGCATCTGACCATTTCGGTCATAAAAATAATCACTTTTATATGGCTCAACCTAATATATATAGAGATCTAAAAGAACATATAAAATATATTAGCAATGATGCTGGACTATAGCTGTTTATTTTCTTATAGCTTCTAGTTTATCTGCAATGATTTTTTCAAGGTGAACACATATATTTAATTGTAAAGATAGATCACTTCTATCTACATTAGTTCACAACAGGTTTGATTTTAGGAAGTATTTTTGCATTTTGCCTAATTTTTCATCAGAATTTTCTCATCTTTGAGTGTAAATAGCACATAACAATTTCTTTTCTCTTTCTTTGAAGAGGTTGATAATCAGCTATGTATACAAAAGTCTGATGACCTTTGGAGGCTATCAAGATGATTTTATGGTGGTCATTAATACACATTCAAAAGACAAACCAACAGAGAAATTACTTTTTGCCATGGCAAAACCCAAGGTGAGTGGAGCCCTTTCTGGCAAATTTTCAACTAGTTTTTTCATGGGAGACATTTCTTGCATAAAGACTGTTCCAAATGGGGAGATAGATGTTACTTAACCATGAGTTCAAATTTTGGCTTACTTTACCAAAGGTATTTTTTTTTCTGAAATGATATTATACTACCTGTTTAAGTTTTTTTTTTTTAACCTTAAGAATTAAATGAAGTTTATTAAGCCCTTAGCCAATGCCTGGTATAGAAAGGCTCAAAAGCAATTGTCACTCTCCAGCTTTCAGGAGGATGAGGCAGAAGGAGTAGAGTGGGGCAGCCTGGATTACTGAGAGATTTTGTCTTCAAAGCATATGGGTAGAGTCAATTATGGTATAGAACTTTGCACGATCTTTCTTACTTGGTGTTATTTGCTTTACGCAACTCATTGAAGAACAGAGTTTTATAATTAAAACATACTTGTTCCTTTACTGTATTTAATAAGCAAATTGTATAGTTTTAATGTCTCTATAAGTAAGTAACTTTTTTTTTTTTTTGGTCTTTTTGAAGTAGGGTCTCCCTTGTAAGCCCCAGCTGTCCTGGAACTCACTATGTAGACTAGGATGGTCTTGAACTCACAGAGATCCACCTGCCTCTGCCTCCCAAGTGCTGGGATTTACCACACCCAGCAAGTAAGTAACTTTTAAAAAGACTACATTCTAACAGGAAAGTCTGGAGTGAGGTTGAAGCTCCATAGTACAGTCCTTGTCTGGAATGAGTCGGGCTCTGGCATGGCTCAAGCCCCGATACTAGAACAAAATTCTAATTTTAGTAAAAAGGATAAAAAATTACCTTTCCTAAAATTTTTAATGTGATGTGTGTGTCTGTGTGCATGCTACAGCACAGATGTGGAGGTCAAAGAACAATTTTCAGGAGTTGGTTTTTTCCTTCCACGGGCATCCACCTTAGGATGTTAGGCCTGGTGGCAAGCACATTACCTGTTGAGCCATCTTGCCAGCCCTGCTTTTATTTGTTGGTTTTAAAAGCAGTTATTTTTCAGGCTGGGGAGATGGCTCAGCGGTTAAGAGCCCTGACTGCTCTTGCAGAGGACCTGGGTTCAGTGCCCAGAACCCAAACGGGCAGCTGTCAGCTGTCTATAACTCCAACTCCAGGGGATCCGACATTCTCTTCTGGCCCTCGTGGGCATTGCACAACACGTGTGTACTTACATACATGCAGGCAAAACATTCATAGACATAAAAAATTGTTATTTTTCAGCTGGGTGTGGTGGTCCACATCTTTAATTCCAGTACTCAGGAAGCAGAGGCAGGCCAATCTCTGTGAGATCAAGGTCCACTTCCTAAAGTTACAGGTGAGCTAGGGCTATGGAGAGACCCTGTATGTGTGTGTGTTTTGGGGGGCATTGGCTGGGCACATGCAGCTGAATCACCCCTTACTAGGGTCAGCTCCTTACTCTCTTGGAACTAGAGGGAACTCCTCAGGAGCATGACAATTCAGTTTTTCTCCTTTTAGATTCTTGAAATCACTCTTCTGATTGCCAGTTACATCAATAACGTCTATCAACAGAAGACAGCGTTTCACCACCTCTCTGCCCCAGCACTGCTGTCAGCCAGGACCCAGGGATCCGAGGCCAGGGTGATGGGAAGCCAGCCCCTCCTGTCAAGCAGCAGACCTACCAAAGGCCCCACCTTACTCTGAAGTTTCCAGACTTTGAACATTCCACTCTTTGTCCTCCACACCAGTGACTGCATTCTCTGCAAACCAGTGTGTTTGTACCCTGCCAGTATGACATTACACACCGCACACAACCGGCACTCCAGACTTTAGCAATAATGGAGTTACTCTCTTATCTGACTCTTAAACATTCAAATAACAATAAAACATAAAAAAATACCAAACATGCTCATTTTGTCTTAGATAAAATAGGTTAGAATTTGGCATCTTTTTTGCATCTCCTTTCTCCCTTCATGATCATTAGACATCATGCAACAATACTCCTCATTCTTTTAAATATTCTGGCAATCTATGGAAAGGGAGATTCCAAACCCTTATTTGGTAAACCAGCTGATTATTTGGAAAAGATCACTGCCAAAAATAAAAGTGTAAGTATTGTAATTAAATGTACCTTTAGCTAATAAAATGGTATGTGAAAAGGAGTAGGGTACAGTGTGAGACTGGGGGACATATGCAGGGGGCACATCCTTAGAGCAAGTGCAATACATTTTCCGAGTCTATGAAAACAGGAGAGAACCTCCTCTGCAGTGATAGAAAGTCTACACCCTGACGTCTTACAGATCACTGGAGTGTAGAGTTTTAAATGAGGTTGCAATTCGTGGCATTCCTAGCTGTCAGCATAACATAAATTCACCGGAATATTGCCCCACATTTCACTACATTTAAGGCTAAGTCAATTTGACCTTGCTTTGTTAAAAATAATAGTGTCTTTGGAAACAAAGATGATCCTTAAAGCTGTCCCTCATACAATGTCTTTTTCTAATTACAGTTTAAATTTTAAAAAACTATTTTAATAAAAAATATTTATGCCAAATGAAGTAAATTTTTAGTTGAAAAAATCTTGTATTGCTTTTACTAGGTTGCTATGTTAGTTTTCTTGTTACTGTGGCAAAATACTTGACAGAAACAATGTAAGGGAGACAGGATCTATTTTGCTGTTTCTGAGGGCTCAGTCCATGGTTGCCTGCCCCTGGGCACTTGGGCAGAACATCACGGTGGCGCACGATGCAAGACATTTCTTCATCTCATGGTAGACAGGAAACAGAGAGAAAGGAGGGACACAAAACTTCAACAGCAGGTCTCCAGTTGACTCCTCCAGATAGGCCCCAACTCCCCCAAATTTCCATCATCTCTCAAAGTAGCACTACCTATCTGGGAACCAAGTAGTCAACACATGAGCCTATAGAGACCATTTCATATTAAAATCATAACAGTTACATAAGTGGTCAGTGCCTCCTAGTATGTGTCAAAACAATGTAATTAGTATTCATGATAAAAATGAAACTGTGATAAGACATGAAAATTATATTATAAAAATGTTTAACTGTAATAGTAATAATCATAAGTCAACCTAATTTTATTTATGTGTAGAATATGTGTATTTATTTTTGGACATATATTTATCACTTTGTGTGCCATAGTTTTTAAACCAATTTGAGAAAAACTGCCAAATTAATTTATTGGCAAGCCTTTGTATTTTTTGCTTCGTTGCTTTCTGCCTGTGGCAATGTACTGTTCTCACAGTAAGCCTTTTATAAAGGTCCCACCCTTAGAAGGAGCAAAGTCAAGAAGTATTTTGCTCAAGTAATATTTCACTTACTTTTTAAAGACAAAAATATTTTTAAACCCCAGAGAAATGGATGTCATTGACTATTGACCCTTCAGTCTTTTGAACTACAATTACTCACTGAGCAAACAAATTCATTTTTTAGAATAAATTAATTATTAATTTGGGATAGCTTTCAGGAGTGTTTTGGGCTGGGATAAAGTCATTTCTGAGTTTCAGAAAACCACTTAGTTGGTGAGCCAGAGGTTTGGCAGAGCTCTTACTTATGTGTGAGAACTTTATTCTCAAATAATAGTTCATTCTCTGACTGGTAAACAGTCCATCTTCCCAAATCTTCAGGTTGAAAAGTAAGTAGTGAAGGTTTAATTTAAACTACAGTACCTTAGCCTTGGCACTTATTTTTGATAGAGCAGAGATAAAATATTTTGATAGAAAGAAGTCAATTTTCTGTAACTGGTGATGTGAAAATTTTATTTTCTGGAAAATTACTTATATAGCCATTAAAAAAAATTCCAAGTATGTTATTATGACTGGTTACAAGAGAATAATGTTTCATGTTTAATTGTAATACTGTCTCTTATCCTTTTCTTCCCTTTCAATCATAATAAATGATTTACAAGACCCACTTTGAACATTATCTTTTGAATAATCTTTGAGATGCCTAATGTTTTCATTGTCAAAGCTGAGGTGTGCCATAGTGAAGGTGGTAGTTACCTCCTCCTCATGCATTCATGCTGTGTCTTCAGTGTGCTTTTGTTTTATTCACAGGAAGGGAAGTTGTTTAGACAAATTGTAATTTTAATATGTGTGCATAATGATTGATACCTATATACTATGTAAATGGATAAATAGAAATTTGGCTTTTCCATGATTTTCATGATTTTTTCCATGATTTTTTCTATGATTTCATAATAAACTCTTTAAAGATACTTACTTCATTTAAGTGAGTTTAATGGATTATGATATAAAAATTCATTTTAAATGTTGTAGAGTGTGTGTGTGTCTGTGTGTCTGTGTATGTGTGTGTGTGTGTGTTCTTAAAGTCAAATACTGCTGTTGCCTGGAAATTAATTTAACTCAATTTACAAGAGAAGTTAACCATAACTTAAAAAGAGACTTTGTCCAAAAATGTATTTCTTAGCTGATTTTTTGGAAATGTTTTCCATGGGGAAAAATATATGGTGACCAGGTTCCTAGAACGATTCACTTCTAACTCCTAATTGATGTATAACCCTGAAGAACTAACCACCATGATTATTGTTCCAGTAAAGGCCTTCTGTGTTCCTGGTATGCCAGTTTCTCCTATGCGCTGCCTCCTGGGTGCCATGGAAAATAGCCCTTATCCCAGCTGACTGACCCCGGGTCGATCTGTGTGGGGACATGGCTCCTGTGGGAACAGGGAGGACACTGAGCACAGGATGGGTAAATGGGGAGACTTGTCTGCCACTGGTTGGTGCAGAAGGTCACATTTCCTCGCATTTACCTCAATTCTGTTTTCCCTAAAAGATGAAATGAATTTTACAACTATAAGGGGAAATTTTTCCCCTTTAAACTTCAAACTAAGGTATGTCTATACATAGATATGCAGGGTGACATGAAATTTGTGCATTTTTCATTGGTACTGTATTAGTTACTTTTCTGTTGCTGTGATAAAACAACATGACCAAGGCAATTTATAGAAGGAAGAGTTTATTTGGCTTACAGTTTCAGAGGGGTAAGAGTCCATAATGGAAGGGGAGGCATGGCGGCAGAGATAGAGCAGAAAGCCGAGTGAGCAATCACATCTTCAAGCGGGCACAGGAAGCAGAAAGGGACTGGAAATCTGGCAAGGCTTAAGAACTCTCAAAGCTTCCTCCAATGGCATGCTTCCTGTAGCAAGGCTGTATCTTCTAAAACCTCCCAAAACACCACCAATGGGGAACAAAATGTCCAACTACTTGGAGCCCATGGGGGACACTCTCATTTGAAGCACCATAAGTACCAAGATGCAGGCAGCTCTACGCCATTTCAGTGAGAGAATCCATCCAAACCAAGAGCTGATGGCCTGGCACAGGAGGTTGGCTGAGGAGAGGAGATGCCATTGCTCTAAACCGTGACATATTTGCTGAATGTATTCACCTAGAGTGGATATAGTGACAGCAAGCAACAGTGTAACCAACATCAATGAAAGCTTTTATTTATTTTTTCTTTTTTCAGACAGTGTCTTGCTATGTAACTTTGGCTGGCTTGAAACCCCAGATCCTCCTGCATCAGCCTCTGATTGCTGGAATTACAGATGAATGCCACCATGTATTGCGGAAAATCTTCATTGTATACTTTCTAATTGTTTTGCATCCCGGTAATAAGCAAAGAACAAAAACTTCACTAGGGGCCATCTATTGGCAAGTAATTCCAAAAGAAATAAATGTTCACCACAGTCCTTGAATTCAGAGTTCTCCTTCCTGAACCCCGTTAGTATGGTCTTCTAATAAATTGAGTGAGGGGTGCCTGTGTGTCTGAGATCTCTTTTTGAAGATGCTGGATGACTGCAACTTCGTGGCAAGGGAAAGCTAATTCCCTCTCACTATGTGGCTCTAGTGAATCCCCAAGAAGAGTTCTTTGGAATGTTGGAAGAACAGAGGATGTTCTTAATTCAAATTTCTAGAAAACACTATTGTATTAGTTATGGTTCTCTAGAGAAATAGAACTGAAAGAATAAATATATTATGTTAAAAGGGGATATATTAGATTTATTCCCATGATAGGCTAGTCCAACGTCTTCACACGAGCTAAGAACCTAGTATCTGCTCAGTTCACAAGGCTGACGGTTTCAGCAATCCCAATCTGGCTGAAGGCCTGGAGGATTCCTGGAAAGCCACTGGTCTTCAGTCCATTGGAAGGTGGAAGAGGCTGGGTTCTGATGTCAGTGAAGGCTGGCAGGAGCAGCAGCTGCAGGAGCAGTGGCAGAGGCAGCAGTAGGGTAGATGCAATTACCAGCAGAGGCAAAGGAAAGTGGGCAAGAAGCAAAGGCTTTTATCTGGGCCACCACAGGAAGGTGTCACCATCACAGGGGTGGTCTTCTCATTTTGATTAACCGAATTAAGAAAATCCCCCACAGGCATGCCCAGAGTTCAATATAATCTAGACATTCCCTCACTGGTGTGCCCAGAGGCTTCTCTCATGGCTAATATTAGATCTTGTCAAGTTGACAATCAGTATTAATTACAATGATCAAACTAAGGGTTGCCTTTCACGAAAGAAAAGCTTATAGATAGTAACCTTAGGAAGATTGGGGAGGGCTCTTATTAGCTTTTGAATGATGTCAGCTATGAGATTTTCACCACCCCATCAACATTATGTCATACCTCCTACTCTATGGAAAGTTATTTAAGGTAGCCACTGACCTCCTAACTGCCCAGTCCAATGGGTTCTCATGATCCAGTCATATACTGGATGCTCTCTCAAACTCTAAACTTGGTTTTCTTCTGCTGTGCCTCCAACAGCTGGTTAATGGGATCATCCATTGATCTGCTACGCAAGAAAGAAAAGTTGACTTTTCTTGGTTTTCTTAAGATCTAACTCTAGAGTCTAGTAACTATATTAGACAGACTCCTTGAGGTAAATTCTAAAATTTAATTTGAACTTAGAAAACAATGAGAAAACTCATTATCGTTTTCATTACAAGGATGCTAAGAGGCCTCATATAATCAAATGGTCATAAAAACTCAGACACAGAGGAGCCTTGGGGACAACCAAACTATAGATGTGGCAGGACTTTCTTTTCATGTCAGTGTGTCTGCTTTGTGTTCTTTATGCCTAGCAGAACATACAGTAATTTTCTCCAAAGGAGAACGACTTTCTTTTTCAAATCTTAATTTGAAAACTCCCAGGAAAGTACTCTGATTAACCCAATTTATGTTTAGTATTTATGCTGAGCCAACTCACACTTAATCAGCATTGGATGAATGCCTAAATAAATGATGAAAAATCTACATTAGAATAATGTGTAGCCATTAAAGTTTTGTTTATGAGCCATTTATAATTGATATACAGAAATACATATTTAATAATCAAGATACTGGGGTTGGGGATTTAGCTCAGTGGTGGAGTGCTTGCCTAGCAAGCGCAAGGCCCTGTGTTCAGTCCTCAGCTCCGATAAAAAAAAAAAAGACAAAATAATCAAGATACTAACTACAGTATAATCTTACCTCCAAGAAAAAAACAAATGGATGAAGTATATCAGAATATTTAATGCTCATCAATTTTTGGTAAACTTATTTCAACGTAGTCTTTTTCTCTCTCCCTATCTGTCTTTGTTAAGTGCTGTGGATGGAACACAGGACTTTTCTTTTTTTGGTCTTTTGGAGACAGGGTCTCCCTGTAGCCCAGCTGGCCTCGAACTCACAGAAATCTGCTTGCTTCTGCCTCCCGAGTGCTGGGACTAAAGGTGTGTGCCACCATACCTGGCTGGAAGACAGACTTTTCACATGCTAGGCAAGCACTCTACTCCTGAGCCATATCCCCTACTCTCATATTGTTTTCTGTATACAATTTTTTTCCTTCAAGAAGCTTGTGTAACATTAAAAACAAAGGGGAGATAGAAAATCTCTGTCACTTTCCTGGCTGTAAATAGTCCCCATATGATCTTCTAGGTTCCAAAAACCCTCCTTCACACAGCTGCAAAAAATTTCACTGAAACTCAGAACCAGTCAAGGCATACTTGTACTTTGAATTCCTATGTGACTTCTCATAAATGGTACAGCCAAACCCAGACTACAAGATCCTTCATGCAGCCCAGTCTACCTGCCCGGCTTGCTCTTCCATCTCAACTCCATCAGACACTTTCTGTTCTCCCAAACTGTCACAGCTCCCCGAATGCTTCCTGAGCACGCCTTAACTTTCTGCAGTTTTTCTTATTCCATACAGTAAGCAGCATAAAATGGTTTCATCCTCCACCACTAGCTTTGAAATCCTTGTGTCTCCTTGAAGTAATCAGCAGGGGAAATTGAGTCTTTATTATACAATTAGGGACAGTTTTCATCTTTGTCCAAGTATGAACTCAGGATGAATAAGGGAGAGAAGAGAACTCTCCTACCCAATCCACCTTGAATCACCTGAATCCACCTTGAGTCAATGCTGATGATCAGGACCTAGCTAGATTGCTTTTATCTTCCTATTTGTCAGACTCCCTCCCTCAACTGTCTATCCCAGCTATCATAATAATAATAATAATAATAATAATAATAATAATAAAATAATAATAAACTCATTCTTAAAGACCTAGTGGTGCTGTGCCTGGCAAGCACTACTACTTGGTAAAATTCTCAAAAAAAGATATTAGCTGTCATTGTTAACAATACTTATGAGACTTTCTAAACAGCACACAGGAATTCTAAAACCCCAGAACCCAAGTCATTACAATCCATTACAGTCTTTTCCACAACATAAACCTATAGACTGGCTTGCACCAGACTATAGCTGCCAATTCAATGAGTAAAATGTCAACCTTCCTTGAAACTACCCTAACTGCCTTGAACACCAATCTCATTTTAGCCCTTTCTAAGGTGCAGTCACAGTCTATCTCCAAAATGCACCAAGATGTTGAGGAGATTTTGTTCCCAGAGAATTTATCTGAAGGGAATGCCCATTTCTTTTACCAACCATTTGCTTCATTTCTAGGAATATGATCCTTGTGTTTCTTTATTAAGTCTGCCAAGGAAGCTGAGAGTTTGATTCATAAAGTAGAACACTTGCCTAGCTTGAAGGCAGCCTTAGGTTCCATTCTGTCAATCAGAAATTGAATCTAGGTTCATCTTACTTCAAATTCCGTGCTCTTGGACATGACACCACAGAAATTAAAGCAAAAGGGAGAGGTTTGGAGAGACTCTTCAAATATTCAGAGATCTTGGGCAATAGAACCTGGGTCTATTCCGCTCTCAGAACAGATCACTACCCTTGTCATGAATGTTTTTCCAACTCCTTTAGGCAAGGTCACTTTTGTATCTCTTCCACATAGCTTGGTTACCTTGGGTTATGATTATAGTCAGCTGTGCACATGTTTCAAAGGCTGAGCTCTCACCATTCCTTACTCTGCTTAGCAAAGGGCCTTGTATATAGAAATAATCTAATGCTGGTAATTTTTGTGACGATTCCTGGATAGCTATAAAGATACCACAAAGTTCAAACAAATCTAACCTACCTTCCTTCATAAAGTATATGTAGGAAAGGTACACGCTTCATTGACATTAATCATGTGCTACCACATAAAGCATAATAAAGCCAAAAGCTCAGAAATCTTGAAAACATTTAAGACCGCATGCCTTATTTTCATTTTAACGACTGAAATATGGTTTTCTTCTAGTAAGTTATTAGATAGCAGTTCAACAGATAGTTTCATCTTCTATTCCCAAATCATGACAATTGCAGGAGAAAAAAGATGTGAGCAGAGACCTCCTAACATACACTTGGTGCTCAGGTGAAAAATAATAAACACTTCAAGCCCAGAAGCAGTTGCTTTTGAATCCCAGAACTGTAACGATTGTAACCTCATTCTCCTGCACCCTACAGGATTGATGCTGAAACTGAGCCTTAAACAAGGTCAAAAACTACATTTCCCATAATGCCCCTCTTCACGCAACTGTGGCCACGACGTCGCTGCCATGACAACCAAGGAGCCCGCATTCCCTGGCTCGACAGAGGCTTGAAGCCCGGGGACTCCGGGTAAGGTCCCGCGCGGAGCGCAGGAAGTCGGGGGCCGCCCAGCCATCATGCCCAGGTATTCCTGAACCCTGCCTGCGCGCCGCCCACGACCATCCCCACTGGAAGGCGCACAGGAGGTTGGGGTGGGGGGACCCCACGCTGGACCTGCGGCTGGGAGACTGTTGATCTGGCCTGCTTGTTCCAGGATCTGTATGGCAGGGGCCCTGGTAGGACAGTCCTTGAGGATTCTGTCACAAGCAGGTAGATTTGGAAAGATCAACTCCGTCCATTCGCTGATTCCATAAGTTTCTTAGCTCGATGCTGTTCCGGGCTCAGGGACGGCAAAGCCTCCCAGGGCCCTCGCCTCCTGGTGCAGGGATTCCCCAGGTCAAATGAGGGAAGTGCAGCATCTGCCTAAGGCGGGTCGGGAAGGTCGACTGCCTGTGAACTACCTTCGAACTCTTCTACCAAGTCCGTTTAAATTACCTGTGTCAGATAATAAAGCTATAAAGACGTCCTAAGAAGGGCGGGGGCGCCACCAGAGAGCAGAGTAGATCTTTCTCTCCCTTGTGATCACAGATGGTTGTAGGTGTGAACTGCAGAGAGTTTATGTACTGGATGGGAAAGCATCAGCTTTGCAGCTTTCTCATTGGTTACAGTAGAAAGCTGTGGACGTAGTTCCAGACTTCTGTGGGCATGGCAGATTGAAGCACCTTTCCCTCTGTTGGGTACTTGAGACGCAGTTGATCACATTTTGAAGGAATGATTTGTAAACAAAAAAACAAGTGGGGACCACGATCCTGAAGGCTACCCTATAAAAGAAATGAAATAGTGCAAACAGTGCAGGACTGCTGTTTGCACGTTGTCTTCTTGTTTTGACCCTTTTTAAAAACATGGTTTTGTTTTTTAAAAAGACTTTTTTGTTTATATGTATGTGTATGCCGTGCATGTGTATGCCGCGTGTCTGGGTGTCCTCAGAGGCCAGAAAAAGGGTTAGTCTAGTCCCTGGAGCTAGAGTTACAGGCCCCCGTGTGGGAGCTGGGAACCGAATTCTGGCCCTCTGCAAAGGCAGAAAGCTGGCTCTTAATCGTCCAGCCATCTCTCCAGCCCCATTTTGACCTTTTAAAATTCCTGTTTTGTTTTGTTTGGGGGTGTTGGGGAAGTGCACCAAGGGCCTTTTGCTTGCTAGGCAAGTCCATAGACTAAGCTATATTTCCACCCCTATTTCTGGTTCTTGACTAATCATAACTATAAGCTGTCAGTAATTTTTGTAATTTAATAGTCCAGGCCCTAAAACTAAATGAATAATCACACTGTAATCACCATAGCCCTAAAAGCCGTTACTCTTTTTAAAACAATTTTTTATGTTTATATATGCACCACATGCAAGCAATGCCCACAGTGGCCAAAAGAGGGCGACAGATCCTCTGGAACTGGCGTCACAGATGGTTGTTAACCACTATCTGGGTGCTGGGAACTGAACCTGGGTCCACTGCAAGAGCAAGTACTCTTGACCACTGGTCCACCTCTCTAGCCTCTCTTTTCTATTTTAATTGACAATTTAGAGATGAAGAAACAGACTTGAACCCGAGGACTATCACAAAGGCTTGCATATATTAAGTGCTTGATAAATTTTGCTTAGGGTTGGGGATATGGCTTAGTGGGTAAAATTCTGCTGTTTAAGCATGAGGACCTGAATTCCGATCCTCAGCACTCACATAAAAGCCACATGGCAGGTGTCTGTAACCTCAGGACTTGGGGGAAGGAGGCAGAGATGGGAGGATTTCTGGGGCTCAGCCAGTCTAGCCAGAATGTCAAGTTCCACGTCGGGTGAGAAACTCTGTCTCATAACATAAAGTGGTGAGTGATAAACGAAGGCACCCTAGACAAAGGCCTCCACACACACACATGCCTGGAGAGCACACCATACACATGCGTGCACACGCACATAAATATAATAAAAATTTTGCTTAGTGAAAATGAAAGCTCTAGACTAAGGAATTTGCCTAGGTTTATATAGGGGTCGCTCTGGGCCCCAGGCGTGGGGTGCGCGGGTATCTCGAGGTCCCCGCCACACCTGGCAAGTCGCGGCGCAGATCTGGCTCTGGCCGCACCTCTCTGGGAGCTGCGGCGGGTGTCCCGAGGACTTTTCAGCCGCTTCGGGTCCTGTGTCTCCGCCTCTCCGGTGCTGAAAGTTCCTCTGCTGCTGGAGCGTTGTCCAGCCCGCTCTGGGCCCCAGGCGTGGGGTGCGCGGGTATCTCGAGGTCCCCGCCACACCTGGCAAGTCGCGGCGCAGATCTGGCTCTGGCCGCACCTCTCTGGGAGCTGCGGCGGGTGTCCCGAGGACTTTTCAGCCGCTTCGGGTCCTGTGTCTCCGCCTCTCCGGTGCTGAAAGTTCCTCTGCTGCTGGAGCGTTGTCCAGCCGAATCCAGCCGCGGCGCGTATCTGGCTCTGGCCCCGCCTCTCTGGGAGCTGCAGCGGGTGTCCCGCGGGCTCTTCAGCCGCTTCGGGTCCTGTGTCCGCCTCTCCGGTGCTGAAAGTTCCTCTGCTGCTGGAGCGTTGTCCAGCCGAATCCAGCCCTTAATTCACCGGTGTACTTTCCTCAGGAAGCGAGGGCCCCTGGCCATTGGACCATGCGGAAAGAGTACGAGGATGGCGAAAGCTAGGAATGTCCGGAAGTCGGTAACGGAGGAGTGCGCCCCCCCCCCCAGAGAGGCTAGGTCGCCGGTAGTAAGACACAAGACTCAAGACTTGGCTTAGTCTGTGTTACAGCTTTATTAAGTGTCTCTGCTCTCAGTGATTCAGCAGCTCTGCGACCCAGCTCTCTGTCTATTAAGAGAAAACTAGGATACTTATACCATGGGGGTAGTGGTAAAAGCTTTGGCTGTTAGATGCTTTGTGAGGCATTCTATTTACATATGGAAGTGGGTTTCTGCCAGGCTGCTGTCTGCTAGGAAAAATCACAGGAAGGCATGGTATCTTTCAGAGCCAAAGGCCATGTTTATGTTATAGCACTTGTGGCGGACACTTCAAAAAAGGAGAGTCAGGAAAGATGCCAGGAAGGCACCCTGCTATGAAAGGAGCCCCAGCACATAACCCCGAGCTGCATGAGCTGTCTGGACGTGAAGCGGCTTCTACTTTGCATAACAGAGGTCCCCAACAGGTTTACATATGCAAGAAGCAGCAGGTTCAGGCTGGACCTATCAGGTCTTGTCCAGGAACTGTTCAATATAGTACTGTTTCCACTTACCTTTAAAATATAATCCCATTTTGGTAAAATCATATATGTGTGTAAAGAGAAGGAAAAGATGATTTCCAAAGTGTTTGCAATTTTAGATGACATTTCTCTCTTTATATTTCCATATTTTTAATCATTATTTTTTAAAAAAATTTTTTAATAACTACATGATTAGAAGAAGCATTTCATTACAGCTTTAACATATTCAGTAACACACTCCAGAGCAAGAGTACATCTCG